AGAAAGAGTTTCGAGCGCTAGAAGCAGTACGGAAATTCCAGGGTTTTCGCGTGTCGGGCTCTGGGGGACACTCGTCCGACACCGCTTCGACACTCTTTCGGCACTTCTCGGGGTGCTCGAAGTCATTTAAGGGATGTGGTCCTTGGAGTACGATGGGGGAGCCACATAACATGACCCTACCCTCTGCCATCCCCCCCCTCTCGTCCCCCCCGACTTCGGCGACGCGATTCGTGCCTGGGAGCAGCAGCGTGTCCCCGGCACCTGCTGCCCCCCCTCCCTCCCGAGAGGCACCTCGTGCGGCGCCCGGCCGCGGCCGCCGCCGCCCGGGAGGAGGCCCGGGCAGGGGCGCCGAGACACGATATGCGCCGATCGAGCCGCGACCCGCGCCGGGGCGGAGGACGGTCCCAGGCGTCGGGCGCGCCTCGAACAAATCGAGGCGGAGGTTTTGGAGGGTTTCTCCGAAGGGCTTAGGCGACCCGTCCTCCTCCTCCTCCTCCTCCTCCTCCTCCTCCTCCTCTCCTCCTCCTCCTCCTCCTCCTCCTCCTCCTCCATCTCCCTCCTCCCCCTCCCCCTCCTCCACCTCCATCTCCTCCTCCGCCTCCTCCTCCTCGGGTCGCCTACGGCTCCGGGGGAAACCGTGCAGGAGGTTTTGGCCAGTTTTCGGCCTCTCGGGGCCCTCGCCGGGCCTTGGGGCCGTCAAGAAACACGACTCGGGGCGAAGAACCGGCCCTGGGGAAGTGGTTGGGGGCTCGGGGGCCTGTGTCTCGAAGAAGTTGCGGCGCCGGACGTCTGGGGTGATCGTTTTCGCAGTCATTGTTTTGCCGATCGCAGCGGGTCCTCGCACCCCCCCCCCCCCCCCCCCCCCCCGATTTGAGACACGGTTCGGGGCGGAGGACAGTGATCGTTTTCTCAGTCATTGTTTTGCCGACCGGCGCGGGTCCTTGCACCCCCTCCCTCCCCCCCCCCCAAAGAGTAGATCTTGGTTGTTTTTGGCGCCCGTTTCGAGCAGGCGGAGTCTCCCCCATAGGGCGCACTGTTGCAAACAGTCGCAGTAAGCAGAGGGGTCTGGAGCCAGACCCCCCCCCTCCCCCCCTTCCGCCGAATGCCGAGGCGCCGAATAAGAAAACGCTCACGTAGAGGAGCGACATACCCTGACTCGGTAGTAAATCATCGGAGCCTTATGTACCCTCGCAATTCCGTCCTTAGCATCGATGAGACGCCGATTAGCATCTGGAATCTATGAGATTGCACCGATCTAGCTTAGCGTCGACTAACGTCGATCTAGCGCAGATTAGCATCGATGTGCAAGAGCCGACAAGATGGTATGAAAGGCTCCCATGAGTTGCATCTTCGGAGGACCTTGCCTGTCTCCCAAACTGGTCCATTCTCATGTGCGCGACGCGGGCTCGATGCGGACTCGACGCGGATTTGGCGTGGATCCGACGCGGATTCGACACGGATTCGACGAGTCTGACATGGATTCGACATCGATTCGACGCGGATAGGGCCGAGAGGTGAGAGACAATGTCCCCCGAGGATGCAACATAACATACCCTGAGATTCGGAGGAGGAGCAGGTACCCACACCGCCACCCTTTGATGTCCTTCGGTTACGCCTTTTGGGCCTCCTGGGAGTTCCTCGTCGCCTCGGCTCGGCTGGCACTCGCCTGGAAATGCTTGTCAGAACGAACCCTCGGAGAGGTTCATGGAGTAGCGGTATCGGTAGTTTTTGGGGCACCGGCATCGCTTAGGGCCAGCTGGAGCTGGGCGCGGCGCTACGATGTCGCTCCGTTCGGAGCGATTCCTTTGGCGACCCGATCCGAAATTTCTCTTTTTATTTGGCCACTTGACGGCTCGGTTCGTCTCTTAGTTCGGATCTAGTTCGACTCGAATTCAACTCTGCATCGGCTCAAGTTCGTTCCGACTTCGACTCGAGTTCGACTGAAGTTCGACCCAAGTCGGCGGATGTTCGGCGCAGCATCGACGCAGGAGCGGAGCGATTGGCCCCAGGAAGGTCCCCAGGGCGAGCTTTCGATTCAGCTCAGGCCTGCCATCGGCGCCGCCCCAGCATACTCGTACCCGGGCGACACGCGCAACGAGAAATCTTCTAGTATATGCGTTGTGGCGGGCGCTTTCTGACCACACCACTCGGGGAACGATATACTACAAGATGGGTATGCACCCGAGAAAATACCCAATCAGTGGATGGTTTTCGCTGAGGAGATCGACCGGGAACCCGGGAGCCTGGGAACCCAGCTGACCCACCGGAATCGGCCCGGAACCAATAACCGGGAACCCGGGAACCCGGAACCGGGAACCCGGTAACCCAGCTTGCGACCAAAGTCGGCGGGGAATTCTCGCCAAATCTCCTTCAACTTCCGCTACAGGGCCCCTTCGGTGCAATGCACTGATTGGGGGCTATGTTCGGGTCGGGACGCGCGCATCCCAGGGATATCAGTATGTCTCTGCGCGTCCCCTTCAGTGCAATGCACTGAATGCCC